AATTAGTTGAGTTTATCAGTAAAGGACCAGGAATGTTTAATACATTTGATATTTCTAGATCCCCTATAGGTGGCATGTCGGACTCGAACCGACTAAAACCGCACGCTGTCTCAGGTACTAATAGCCGGGGAACCAGGTATACCCTAGAAAGGAAGTCCCTGGTGCCCCGACATACCTCGGGCCATCTACAGACGAGTAGACGACCCCCCCCCCCCCCCCACGTGTGGCCTGCCTGCTTCTGCTAGGGTGACAGGTGGCCTCACCTGTCTGTGCTGTCTGTGCTTCGCCGTCTCCTTCGCTATTTCTAGATCCCTAACCTTGTCAAACAAAGCCAGTTGAGACTACTGCGGACTCTGTAGAGTTATGATGACCGGATTATGTCTTTCGAGTTCTTATTGCGAAGGCGTTTAACGGTTTGCTAAAAAAACAGTTAGGCAAATACTTTCACTTGCATTGCAATCAGTTTGGTTAGCAATTAAGTTTGACCTGAGAATGTACAGCATATCGTGAGGTACAAACATAAAAACTTAGCCCAAATCCCACCTCCCGTTGACTCGAGCGGGAGGGACTATAAGGGCGGCAACGCACTTGTGACTTTTGAGTTGCAGGGGTCCATGGGCAGCGATAGTTGCTTAACATCAGGTGACCCGCTGCACCTTTGCCCCCTTATAACTTAAAAATAAAATAAATTTCTGGTTATTCGCGGCCTGTTTCGGATCTTGCGACATTTATTTCTGACGGGCCTGTTGGTCTAGTGGTTAGAGACCCTAACTGCTAACCCTGATACCGATACTGAGTTCGATACCCACCCAGGACAAATAGTTGTGTGGTGAGCACGATTATTTGTTCAGGTTCTGGGTGTTACTTATTTATAATCTGTATGTATTTAGAAGTATTTAAGTATGTTTATCAGCAGTCTGGTTACTATAGCACAGTCTCTGCCTGGTTTGGGATCAGACTGCCGTGTGTGAGATGTGTGAATTTATTGTTATTTAGTTCTTATTAACGGTAAATGCATTACAAAATTGATATACAAATATATATATAAGTTAATGATTAAGACGGCTAAAACATTTGGCGGTTACAAAATAACCGGCAGGCGTATTGCCATGCCATGCCAAAAAATCTGTGATTTGATACAAAATGAACGCGATACGATAGTGATTTAGGCCCCGTCCGTACACGTTTTTTGCGAAAAAAACGCACCGTGAAATATCGCTGTGCGGACGGGGCCTTAGAAACTGAATTTAGTAGAAAATAAATGAAATGATTACCTACTTACATATTATAGTATTCAAAATTGTTGAGTAATTAATAGAGTCTATGGCTGTTAATTGAGGTTCGAAAGGAACTAAATATGTTATTTTAAATGTATTGAGTTGGAATTTTCCCGACTGTGCCAAAAGGACGGTTATGTTTTTTGAGTGTAAGTACGACATGGAATAAAATCACGGTCAACTGTGATTAATCATATGATTTTGTTGCCAATAAGCTGTTTTCAGAGGAAATAAAACGAAAAAAGGTCTCAATAAAAAAATGTCGTATTCTTTTATAAAAATAATTAGAAAACTAAATACATTTGTTTTTTCTTTGCTTAAAATTTGATGTGATTTAGTATAGTTGAAATAAATGTCTAAAACCGATAATTTAATCATATGATTATTATTTACAAGTAGTTATAATTTCCATCACTGTTGAGTACCTTAGTTTATATCTGTATAGTGTATTAAACTAAAACATAAAACCTAAACACGAAACGTGTACAAAATTATCTGAAATTCACTTCTAACAGTTGACATAAAGCCGAACAAGTTTCAATAATATCTGAACTAACCATTAACGGCCATAGGACCGGAGTCATTAAGCAAAGTCAATGGCCTTAATTAAAATTTCTACTGTAATTGTTACATCACACTACTTTTCCACCTAATGTGTTTCAAAACCCCAAACTCGTCTGTTAAACGACTCTGCCGCTAATATGAGCTATGTGCATTAAGGTCACTCATTTACTCCTAACGAGCTTTAGCTGGCATTACGTATTTTCTTTCCAATATATCAGTGTTTCGATGGGTTTTGACTAGTTTCTTTTATCATCATCATCAACCGCCTTTAATAGTCCACTGCTGGACATTGGCCTCTTCTTAGAATGTAGGTTTTGGCCTACTATACCACGCTGGTGAGACGGGTTGGTATAGGGTTTGTGTCATGGTTGAGGGCCTTTTCCCGCAACGAGCGGAACACACTCCCCCGGCGATGGCCTCCTTGGCCGGAGACGACGGGGAGCACGAGGAGGATGATGTTCCGCCCGTCCGGGATTCGGAGGTAGGGGCGGCTGTTCTACGGATCCGTTCCAAGAACACCGCCCCTGGGCCAGACGGGGTACCGGCTCGAGTGCTGGCCCTGGCCCTCAACCACATGGCAGACCGCCTCGGGGAGGTGTTCTACGCTAGCTTGGCGTCGGGACGTTTCCCTGAGTGCTGGAAGAGCGGGAAGCTGGTCCTATTAAGGAAGCCGGGACGGCCTGCCGATTCGGTCGCGGCCTATAGGCCCATCGTGCTGCTGGACGAGGCGGGTAAATTGTTTGAGAGGGTTCTTTCTGCCCGCATCGTCCGGCACCTCTACGAGGTGAGCCCCGATCTGTCGGACGCCCAATTTGGTTTTCGGGCGGGGCGTTCGACAGTCGACGCCGTGTTGCGCCTGAGGGCCGTGACCGAAGAGGCCGTGAGCTGTGGCGGCGTGCTGTTGGCGGTGTCATTAGACATCGCCAACGCATTCAATAGTCTGCCATTCAGCTGCATCAGGGAAGCACTCCACTATCATGGGGTGCCAAAGTACCTGAGGCGGCTAGTGGCAGACTATTTAGAGGAGCGTACCGTCGTGTACGAGGACCGAGAGGGTAATTTGAGGTGTCGGCCCATGTCGTGCGGTGTTCCACAGGGGTCTGTTCTTGGACCCCTCTTGTGGAACATAGGGTACGACTGGGCCCTTCACGCCGATTTCCCCCCCGGGCTGGGTGTAATCTGTTACGCAGACGATACCCTGGTGACAGCCCGGGGGGCAAACTTCCAAGAGGCTCCGCGCCTGGTCACAGGGGGAGTCTCCCTGGTGGTCAGGCGCATTGAGGCGCTGGGCTTACGGGTGGCCCTAGATAAGACGGAGGCCCTGTTATTTCATGGGCCCCGTCGTGGTCCACCCCCTGGCGCCTCAATCGTGGTCAACTCGGTCCTCGTACCGGTTCGGGCCCAGATGAAATATCTGGGCCTGATCCTCGACGAGAGGTGGCTCTTCGACGAGCACTTCCGACAGCTTGCTCCAAAGCTGGTCGGCGCTGCGTCTGCCCTAGGGCGACTTTTGCCCAATTTGGGTGGACCCAGCGTCGCGACAAGACGGCTGTACACGGGGGTTGTCCGGTCAATGGCACTGTACGGTGCACCGGTGTGGGCGGCGGCTCTGACCGCCCAGAATAGGGCACGCCTCTGGCGCCCTCAGAGGGTAATGGCGGTCAGAGCCATACGCGGTTACCGCACCGTTTCGACGGAGGTGGCATGCGCGTTGGCCGGAACTCCCCCGTGGGATTTGGAGGCGGAAGTGCTCGCCGAAGTTTATCGGCGAGTGGCTGACTCCCGGGCGGAGAGCGGATTTCGCCCTCCGCCCGAGGATGTGCGCGAGTGGCGCGAAGCTTCTGATGGCTCATTGGTCGTTCCGGTTGGAGACTCCAAGCGCTGGCTTCGCCGCCGTGGAGGCTCTCCAGCCGGTCATCGCCGAGTGGGCAGGGCGGCAGCACGGGACCCTTTCCTTCCGGCTAACGCAGGTGCTTTCCGGGCACGGTTGCTTCGGAAAGTACCTGCACTCGGTCGCTAGGAGGGAACTGAGTCCCGCCTGCCACCACTGCGACTGCAGTGAGGACTCGCCCCAGCACACGCTGGCGGTCTGCCCCGCATGGGCGACGCAGCGCCGGGCCCTCACTGCAGTCATCGGAGTGGATCTCTCGCTACCGGCCGTAGTACGCTCCATGGCCGGTAGCGACAGTTGTTTTACCGCGGTCGCAACCTTCTGCGAGGAAGTAATCTCGCAGAAGGAGGCGGCGGAGAAGGCCCGGGAGGACGACCTCCACTCGGACCCGATCCGCCGAACCGGGCGGCAGAGGCGCGCCTATCACCGCCTCATGCCGCCCTGAGTGTGGTCGCGGGTGGACGGGGTGGGTTTCCCCTCCACCTGCATTAGTTTGGCCAACCGCGAGGGGGCGGCGTCCGCGTGTGCCGGACGTCGCCTAAAAAGAGGAAAATATTGAGACGGAGCCCGCACCAGGAGCGGGCTGGCGCTAGGAGGGGTCCGGATGTCTTAATAACAGCTGTTCCCGGATCCCTCCTCTTACAGGCGCAGAGTGGCACACCGTGTGGTTTTAGTCGGTCCGAGTCTGTGTGGGGTCTCGGTCCGAGTGGGGTGATGGTCCGAGGGGATTTCCACACGTTAAAAAAAAAAAAAAAAAAAAAGGGGTTGTGTCAAGTTTTCCTTTTTTCTTTGCAGTGCTGTTGTCCTGCTCCCTTAGTCGCCTCTTACGACACCCACGGGATGAATAGGGGTGGTGACACTCTGTATTCGTAATCCGTCACCACACGGATAGTTAATAATTACCAATCATAATAATCGTTTATTTTTATTAATATAATGATTCTATTGTATCTATCTGGTCATTTAAAAAGAGTGGCCCTGGCTTGTCCTTTCTTCTTCTCATGATTAATATACTGATATTATAAATTTGAAAGTGAGTTTGTTTGTTTGTTACGCTTTCACGCCTAAACCACTAAACTGATATAAAAAAAAAGTTACCAATGTAAAGTTACATTATCAGCGAGTAACGCAGGCAAAACCTGGTGTACTGATATATATATCACACCACCGACGTATTAATCTATTTTTTAAGACAATAAAAGTCTTTAGGAATTAACTGTTTATTGTTTATATAATGTATTAATTCGTTTTTTTTTTCGTTTTACCAGATGGTGCGCTACGAAGATTTTCGTCGCCAAAATGCCTACCTATATGACTGCGACGCGTTCGCCTTGCAAAAAGTGAAAAATGTATATGGGGGTACTCTACCAGAAAGTCCTACAAACGGACGAATCATTCTAATGAGATTTGGTAAGGAATAGGTATTTTACGGACTCTTTTTTTGTGGTATAGCAGGTTAAACAGACCAGCCCCGGATCTTCGATTTTTTAAACCGGGGCAGAAATTTGATAGTGGTGCCCCTTTCTCCAGCGTTTGAGATAAACTACTTAAAAAAACCCATAAATATATTCACTTGTAATGTGGACCTCGATTTGCCCCCCCCCCCCCTAGATTCCGGGCTGAAACATACAGGTCACCTGATGGTAAGTAAGTAGCGGTGCCAATGGACATCTGCAACTAAAGTATAATGCCAACCTTCGAGTCCTCCTCTCAGCATCAGGGGATTCTTGGGGGAGGACTCGTTGGGGCTCTGTTAGCCTCACTCTCTCGTTGAAACGCAACTAAAGAATCCATTAACACCGGTTTTCTATTAGACCCTAGAATCACTCAAGTTTAGTTGGCCTATTTGTGTTCATAATTCTCCATTTACTTTTTTATGAAAGAGGGGCAAACGAACAGGCGGTTCGCCTGATGGAAAGCGACTACCACCGCCCATGAACGCCTGCAACTCTGGAGTCACAAGCGCGTTGCCGGCGGCGTTTGATGGTCGTATCGGTTCGGAAATAAAAATGCTCTTATGCATCAATCACGACAGAAACCTAAGGTCCTACGGTATTTTGTTTGTACTCTTATCAGTCCCAGACTTTCTATGTTAACTGATTAGGTTTTTTTCTTACGTACTAAAATACAAAATCGTGTCCATCGTACAAATACGTTCAAATCATCGTAAAAATTTAGCAAACAATATAATCTATATACTCGTATATAAGAGATTTCCACGTATATAGTCACTCATCACGATATCTCTGGAACCATTAGAGCTAAAGACTTGAAATTTGGTAGGAATATTCTTTTCACCGAGTAGAGGTCAGCTAAGAACGGATTTTAAGAAATAAAAAAAAAATAAAAAAATAATAATAATGTAAATAGCAAAACAACGTTTGCAGGGTCAGCTAGTATATACTAAACAAAGGATATTGTCCGATTGTAAACAATATAAGCTAAGTTGGAATGATAAATTGTAATAAGTTGGCTGTGAACGGAACTATATCTGTTGCCGCTGCGCTCGATAGAGGGCGGAAGTGTTGAGTTACATCGCGATATAGTTTCGTTCACACTCAGCTGCAATCTTATATTTATGTGTTTATTTAATCTAAAATGAAAATTTTCTTTCCTCCGAATGAGGCTCGGCTGACTTTTATTTTATTTAATATTTAGATAAATATCTTTATCTAACTTTATTTTTGTTAGTTACTCGGTGGTGTCATTGTGTAAAAGAATAATAACTTTGACAATACCGGTGGTGTCATGGGGATTGAATAATACCCTTCACACTACCGGTGGTGTCATGGGAATTAAAAAATACCCTTGACACTGCCGGTGGTGTCATTGGGTGGTATCACGGGTCCGTAACGGCCTTTTTCACATCTATGTATCTTGTGTCAACTAGGGTGAATTTCCGTGCGTTTAGGTGATTCTGCCATACATATTATAGAAATCAAATATAGCTCACGTAGGACCCGTAATATTTTGTGGCCGTGGTGCTTCCCTGTTTAAAAGGGTGTATGCCCATTTTACTTCATTTTGTCTCCCGCTTTGCTAAGGAGGGAAGTGGATTTACTGTATTTCCAACTCCTCCAATAATCTTCTGATTAATTTCGTTGCGGGTTCCAAGACAGTTTAATTTCTTCCTGGGACTTCCCGAGTGTCATAACTCGGTGTGTTCGTGGGTCACTGCTGTGGATCCTGGTGTACAGGAGTTACAGTGGTGGGCGTGTGGGTGGGATTAGTCCCAGTCAAATCTATGTATCTTTTTATACAAATAAATAAAATTGAAGTGTCTGTTTGTAATGTCAAAATTATAGGTTTTTTTTCATGCTCACACGGTTATTTGCACGATACCTATCCAGTCTAAATATATTTTGTCTACCACTACCAAGTAGCTGTCTATATAAGGAGTTACTTAGGCTATTTTTTTTCTATCAGAAAAACCCTATAAAATATTGCCCGGTCTGGGAATCAAACCCGCTAAGGCAGCACTTTTCAAACCTCACGCGTGCAGCTTTTAATATACAAATAAATTTCTTGTTTTCGATTTCAGGTCGTTGGGATGTAGATTCTGTTCCAATAGAAGATGTAGTCCGCTGTGCTTTACTCATGGACGAGATAGCAGTAATGCAACCTAAACTTCAAATATTAGGTGTGACTATTATAGTAGACCTCGAAGGCCTGAACCTAAGACACGTTGCACAACTGACACCGACCGTCGCCAGCCAAATCGTTGCCCTAATGGGAGTGAGTATTTATTTATTTTTGCGCCATCTACCGACACTAAGTATAAACTCTTGGATAATAAGATTTTTTAATAGGTACTTTATTAAAAAATAGACGGCGCTTTCTACGATTATGTCTTAAAATATTAATGTGTCTTCGTTTTTCTAGGTATCATTTCCCCTTGCTAATCACTGCCTTCACATCATCAACTACAATTGGCTGCTTCATTCAATTTTCTATTTGTTCAAACAATTCATGCCAAAAGCTGTCTGGAATCGTGTACATTTCCACGGCAATGATACGAGTTCACTTCGCAAGCATATTGACCCAGAATACCTGCCCCCGGAGTATGGCGGACATTGTCAATACTTAATAGCGACTGAAGATTGGATTGCCAAAATAGATGAATACAAAGATGATTTCCTCGTACAAGAACTGAGATCTCTAGGATTTACTGTTAAAAGTTAATTAAAATAAAATAGGTTGCGAATACCAAGTCTGTTTTTTTTATATCGCCAAAGGTAAATAAATGTACACGTAAATTATAATATTACGGCACATTAAACAATAGTAATTAAACAAAGTTGGAGAACTAGCATTTTCAGATTTAATTATCTGAAGATGCTCGAAATTCAACAACCATGTCTGACCGCTGTTCCCCATTGCTTCTCCACGAACGACTATGAACTATGTACGAAAGCTATGTACGGAAATGCCTACAGCTGGGGCCGTTGGGTTCTTAAAAACGTAGTGTCGAAAAAAATAAAAAAAATGTTTTTTTTTTTTTTTTTAAATTTCGTACAAATCTCCAACTTTACAGGTACAGACCACAGAACAGTGAATAAACATTTTATTCACTGTTCTGTGGTTCGGAACTGATATAATATGAAATCATGATTTTTTAAAGACCTATTTTTTTGTCGTAGCATAACATAGTATGTATATATTGGTCGTAGTTTAAATAATTTCGCAACAAAAATCACAATGACGCCGCATAATGTACTAGGGAAGCATATACTTGTACATATGTTTTATAAATTGCTCGATAATAATTATGAAATCAGCTTATTTTCAATAATATTTCCTTTTATTTTCGGCGAGTAATAAATTAGTAATAATAGTTTAGAAAACGTAGAAATGCGTTTTTTATTAACATTTTAACATTTAACTTCTTAGAAGAATTTATATAATTTTTGGTTAGTTAGTATGATTCACTTTAAAAACGGTACAAATCTCATAACTATCCATCATATATTACTAGGTATACAGGATTTGCCGTTCTCCTTTCAAACAATCTTTATAGAGGAATCCTGTGAAATGAAGAGGTACAGGCATTTAGTTTATACATATTTAATTTGCATTCAATAAACAATCTCATGCACAGGGCTTAAATTTATATACATGGCAATTATACTTAATAGGTACTTTAACTTTAATTAGATTTTATGATGCGCATTAAGTTTAGTAATTTCTTCCTAAATTACAATTTGATATGTGTGCATATTTAAATTATGAGATCAAACCCGTATGGCAATCGCAAATAAGATTCGTTACAATTATTTGCTGACATAACAGTTCAATAATTTATTATGCCACATTAAATGCTTTCCTATGATGAATTCTCTGCAATTCCTTTTCCACTTCTGCTAACAAACTGGAATCTACATTATTCATGTAATCGTCATCTTCATTCCTATGATCCCCTGGTACAACAGCTACAGCTTCATCGTCTGTAACGGTATCCGCGGCGACGTCACCGTCGCTCTTGTCTACATTGTCGAAATATTTAAACATCTGGTAACTGTAATTGGGATTGTATGACCTTGGGCCATTTTTCATGTGAGCTGGCATTTCATTTGTACCATGTATGATTAAGCTCAACGCACCGACTTCCCCTGTATTTTGTTCATGTGTCTGTAACACAGTGAATCAAATACAATTATCATGCATAAAATAACTTAAAACTAATTTAATAATATACCAGCAAACAAACCTTATCTGCAATAATAACCTTCCAAACGCCTTTTGGATCTTCACCCCATGTTGATACTGACATAAGCGGCCAGTTCACGAAACCGGATTTGGACGCATCTTTTGATCGAGTGCTTAGAAGCTGAACTTTGGTGCCTGTGTATATGAAATATTAAATATTATGTTATCTTATGATTAAAAAGTGAACTAAATTAATAAAGCAGCAGAAAGTACAACTAACAACAACACATTCGAAACCACAGAAACCACAGAACAGTTAAATCTGCTCTGTGCTCCCATGCAACAAATCGCATACAACAATTATTGTTTTGTACGTCTCTTAGACGCATCGATCGAACTAAAGTACCAGGATATTATAATGTTAAAGAATATTAAACCTTGAGGCGAAACCAAGTAGATTTCTAGCGCTCCACGTCGACTGTAGCGAATGTTGACAATTAATTCGACATGCTCAATGTAGTTTACTTCGCAATCTTCAACTGATATGAAAACATCTGCTTGTGTTCTTGACGACAGACGTGATGAAGTTGATTCTAATCTGAAACAAACGACTGACTTCATAATAAGAAATTCTGTAAACACCTACAGATAGTAGATAATGTTTTCTCTTATTTAAATTACCGTGACATAGACCCATTAATATAACTAGTTAATAAATAGATACACACACTATGTTTCAGCCTCCACAGTATCGGAGTAAGTGGCGATACTGAATGACGAAAGGTTACGTATATATTTTACTAAGAACGCATAAGTCTTGAAGAATATAAGTTAAATAAGACGTGGTCACTTGCTGACGTCTGACGCGCCACGACGCGTAAAGAGCCGCCAACCAATATAACAAACAAACATTGGACTGAGAGATATAAAAAACAACCACACGGAAGCAGCATGTTTGAATAAAAAAATAATGATTAATGCTGCCACAAAAACCTGCATTTCATTTTTTTGACTTGTAGTTTTCGCAGCGATGTGAAAACTCAATTTTACTAGGAGAACATACTTACAGTGTTGCGTCGATACGACAAACGTGTTTCTGGGGCACATTGGTCCAGTTCAGTGCCATTGTCACAAGGGACCCAGCATTTAAAAGCCCAAAACCGAACCGCACATCAAAATAAAGTCCAGCACTGAAAATGAAAAAAATAATCATCTGCTATAATTAAAAGTCTAATCATTGTGCTTACTATTTCTTTATTTAAAGACCTACCCATTTATCTGCCATCCAGGATTAGCTGTGAGTGGAGCATACTCCGATGTCCAAACAATTAAATGTTGTACGTCGCGCCATGTTAGTTTTGGACTGAAATGTGTTTGTAAAATTTTAATACATAATATTCCGCTAGATGTATGTGATCATTTTATTATTACATTCTCATATATACAGCAATGAATTTAAAGTAAAAATAATGTGAACGTAGTTTTTGCAATATAACGGCATTAAAATTCATTCACCACATAAAGTGGCGGATAGCCGTGACAAAATGGACAACACGGGGACATTGTGACAAACGGACCATGCTACTGAAATCACTAGGAACACATAAATAGACAAGAGCCATATTCGTGTATATCAAGAAAGTAAACTAACTTGGCATTTAGAGTGAGAGCGATGATACCAGCGGCCAATGGGGCGGCGGCTGACGTGCCGGTGTGTGCGAGAGTGCAGGAATCTCTTGTGTCTGTAGTGGCCTGTGTGAAGTAAAGACGTATTGCTATCTTCCTCTAACAAATGTTATCATAGATACACTTTACGTAGTTCGTGTGTAAGAACATGATATGACACATACAATGTGTAAACAAATACGTATGTATTGTGAATAAACTTACTATTTTCTGGTCTTTATAGGCACCAGAGGAGTAGGCTGCAGCGAGGGTTGACGAGCACATCTCTCCATACCAAGGAAACATACCATGTTGGGAAGCACTTCCTATTGATATGGTGTAGATGCTAGAGGAATATCTAAAGAAACACAACTTTTTAATTAGTTGGAATAAATATTGAAAGCCCTATAGTTCATTATTCTCTTATTCTATTCTTATTCTATGTAGGAACTGGTACAGTCAGAAAAGTCAAATAGGTATGTTAATTAATGTACATGAGTAAATGACATTAACGTACCCATCACAATTACAGTTATCCCCATGACCTCCGCCGTTTCCATTAGCCCAAACATAAATGGCTCCCTTTCCGCCGCGACCCTAAAAAGAATGTGTTATGTATTCTATTATTAAGGTTACCATAATTGAAATAAAATGACATAAATATAATCAAGCCATGGTTGACTTACCATTAAATTGTAAACGTTGTAAATATAAACTAAACAAGCTTAATTATTAAAAAAAAAAAACAGTTTTCTAGACGAAAAAGAATTATTCAAATCGGTCCAACTATCTTTTTTTTCTTTCTTTTTTAAAAAGACAACTCCCGCATTAGGAATGTATCCTGTGTCGCTGGACAAACATACATGGAACGGACACAAAGAACACCCGGAGTCAGAATAAAAATTTGTGGATCACACAAAGTGTTGTCCCATGTGGGGATCGGACCCACAACACTCAGCGTGACCGCTTAAACCACTACGCCATACGCGCAGTCAACTCTTATTAATAAAGCTCTTAAAAATGTAATAATAAAAAAACTGTATTTAAACCTGTAACACCCCACGTTTAAACGCCTCGAGGGCGAGGCGCCCCGGTCCCTCGACTGTGGCACCATCGTCATTAGGACCCCATGACGCGCTGTAAATATCCACCTTATCGAAAGCGTAGCCTGAAAAATGACAAACATTTTTTTTAACTATGTAAGAGTCAACTTCTTCCTGAGTTCCTGGTAACTCAGTTCAAGCCACACCAGTACCAATTGATCTATAATCTAAACATATAACCTAAATAGGCAATAAATATTTTTTGCGTGCTCATCCTAGGAAGGCATTTCTCTGTCAATATAATCTGAAGTTTTCATCCATAACTTCCAGGGGTGGTCGGCTATACGATTAGGCCCTATTACGTGTGTAGGACCAAATTATAGTTAACAAATTTGTGATTGTTTAATCATCACTATCTGATAAAATCAAACAAACAATTAATTTGTTTTTTTTTTATTAGCCATAAACTTGTTCTTTATTGTTTGGGCACGTTTTATAATACTGCAAACGCCATCTAGATTTACACTAAGGCAATGTTGATGTTTTTTACCCGAAGAAGAATATTACACTTGCATGGCCTCTATGTTCTCCTAATAAATAATATCGAATTAAATCTCGAAATCCGCAAAATATTTAGCATAATGAATAGCGTAATCATTAATTAAAACGTTCCGAGTCTATACGATTCGAGTAATTCGACGAATTCATGAATCAACTCTCATAGATACTTTCTTCCACCTCACCCGCCGCGCTAAGTTCCCGTTTTACCGCCATTGGCTGATTGCGCTGTCGTTACAAAAAGTAAACGCAGATGTTTCTGTACGAACACCTCTTTTGGCTTCTAGCTTCCTAGTGATCGTGGTCACCACGAACATGTGGCCGCCTAACTTGCCAACGTTGCTGTTACGTGGTGGCAATGACTCCTGTTGACTAACCATCTCACTTATGAGTCACTAAATAACGACACTAAAACAATATCATTTTATTATAGCTCTTGCGATAAAAGTTTTAAAAGGTTATGTTATAGGCATTTTGTGTTGACATACAGCCATATTTTACACAACATAGAGTACAGCTAAGAGGGATCAGGCGAATTCAGTTTGACAACAATTAGCTTCTCGGTTTAATACACACATTTAATTTTAAATGATCAATATAAGGGTTTCTAAAGGTCGGGAATACAAATCATACAAAGGATATATGTGTGTCTGTTTGCATGTCCACACGAGCTATCCACTTGGAGGCCGAAATGACCTGTCCTCTCAAGGTTTTTAGCAGTATTCAAGAGATTTGTACCACGCGGGGACATTGTAGCAATTTGGACAGTGATAACGGTAGCAATTTTGTAGACGCAGCTCGGGAGTTAAAAGAGTTGCTCAACGAGAAAAAGAAGTACCTTATAGTGAAAATGTGAGTGATTCTCGGCAATACCTAGCGGGCACATTCAACTATAAATACTTTTTATTTACTTTTCAAATTTTAATTTCTTCGATATTCCTACCATAATGAATACGCAATACCTGACATGATTTGATTGCTGATTTAATCATTCATTCAGCGTTTATTAAACCATTAAAGAAACTATGAAAAAGGTATGTCAAAAATTTAATGTAGTTGGTACATTAAATGTAATAAAAAAGGTAAAATTTTATAATAAATAATAATATTGTCAACACTCCCACGCCTGCACATGGCCTAAATCATAAGTCAAAAATCATTGTTTGGGTATGATTAATAAATAGCACTACAAACATCGTCCTCGTCGTCCCAGTTGTTCAGAAAGGGTTACTGTTACGTCACATTTCACTCATATTACTAGGGTAACATAAAACGAAACAGACTGTTTTACTTTCATACATTTCTGTACGAGAGATGGCGTGCTATCATGTTATTTAGTCATGTTAAAGATAATGCATTATTACTAAATTATCTACACAATTCAATTTTCAATACATTTATGAACCTGATAAATTAATTTTTGAAAGATTTTGTCCTGCTGAAGCCCTTGTAAACATTATTCAGTTACGATAAGTAAGTAGCGCAACCTAGGGATGAATATTATTTTAATATTAAAATAAAAAAAGCTTACGACATTTTACCTCAACATGGCGACCGAATATACCAGGCAAGCATAAGATTAAACAGCACGATTTACATTTTACCTATCGCTTCACCCTCAATCCGGTCTGTAATTCGTCCATCAAGCATACGGACTCCGCCCACTCTGGCTCCCCATGCCACGCCCACTCCGCACTTCAAGTTATTAGCGGTCATTGCTATCTAACAATCAGACAATTTGAGAATAAAACTCCAACAAACGATTTAAATGAATGAAGTGAGAAATTGCATATGAAGTATCCTTACTTCGCCAGCGCATCTCGTGCCATGTGAATTTCTTTTGATGTCTTCATACCTAGGTGCAGGATCCGAGTCGCCATCGTTGCTGTCCCAACTAATCTCTGGATCCTGTAGCGGAAATGTGTTATTTATATTATACTTTCACTAAGAAGGAAAGGTAGTCTCTGGAAACCATACACTAAGTAGCACATACATAACGCAAAAAAAGTTCGGTCGCTAACTGTCACACACACACACACACACACATACACACACACAGTAGCAACAGTAAGCAAGTTGTAGTAGATTAGTGTATGGTTTTGTCCACGTTACACAACAAGTGGTTGGTAGGTTTGTGTGGCAAGACGACTTATTCGCGTCCAGTGCACAATATCGGCCGCGAATATACTAGGGCAGCATGAGTTCTATGAGAGTAACCGAAGCGTTATCAAAACAAAATAGTGACGTCAAAGAGCCGCGATGCGACGCGACGTTCGGCACTGTTGGCGTGTCCTGTCCACGTCCACGGTTTCGTCGTCATCGCCTACTAGAGCCGGTTGTTCGTTGAAATTTTGGAATCGAATTTGTAGAGCGCTCATCACCATCATCAGACCATTGCAGTCCACTAATAATTACAGATTAAATCTAATATAATTTCGTAATAAAATTTTACTAATAGTTTAAAGTATTTTTAAATTAGAAAAAAAACAGTTGGTACTAGTTTCTTAAACATCAGAAACCACTTTGTTTATTATTAAAACTAAACCCTTACCATAAGAGTAGTCACTAAATACGGATTTACTAAATACAAAATACAAACAATAATACAAACGTACGAATGAAGTACCCCTATTATTTCTTTGTTATTTATGATTTAACTATACATTTTATCAACAGATCTTATAATGTATTAGTAATTAATATCATTGCCACATAAGAAATAATAATTCTCCAAAACAACTGACTAGTGAAAATAATTTATTAATTTTATTATACAAAACGAAATTATTAATAATCTCTGCTCTAATATTTTTTAAACATAATAAAAAGCAGCACACGACGACACGGTTTCGTAGTTGTGCCATTATTCCACGGAAATTTCAGTCTGCTCTTTCTGAAGTACTAGGGGAACATAGGCGCATGGTTGTTTAATTTGGTTTTATTCATTAACTCTTCACACATTGGATAATATTATATGGCGATATTAGATTATTTTCATCCGCCAAATTGATTAATTATTAATATCGCTTTAATTAAATACACAATAAGTGATCAGATCTTTAGTGCTCTAGAATTAAAAGAAAAAACATTTATACTCACGATTCACGGTAGCATTGTTGTTGCATGAGTTAAACAAGTGTTATAAAGTATAATAGTATAGTCAATGGTAACGGGATAGTGTGCTTTGTTGCCACGAATTATCGAATCTGTACCACAAAAACAAAACACAGATTTGGGAGATCGAAAGTAGATCGGCACATTCTGAAGTTCGGAACTGAATTTAAGAACGAATTTTAAACAACTGGGATAGCAAAATTTTACACGGCTCCGAAAGTCATGTCTCCGTCATTCATTTTTGTGTTGTGTCACTTTAGCTGCTAAAACTTCAAAGTAAACTTCGATAGTACTAAGGTAACATAACCGTCCCTAAGTTTGTAGAACAAAAATAACTAAACGTTTCTACTACATTAATAATTCGCAGTTGGGTGTTTTTTAAGACATTTGTGAGATCAAAACACAGATTAGGGGTAATCTGTATATCAAAAGCACAAAACTAATTTTGACCGAATTTTTAAAGCTAGGTAAATTATTTTGAAGGGACTATCTTCTCGTAAATAGGTACTTCCATAGAGTCACCTTAAAGTCTTCTCAGGCGTTAAGTCCCATAGTTTATTTATTCCGTCTACAGCTCCGAAACTAATGTCTCTCGTCTTCTTTCTTTTTCGTTTTGTGTCACTTTTGCTGCAAAACTTCAAAGTAAACTTCGATAGTACTAAGGTAACATAACCGTCTCTCAGTATGTCGTACAATAAATCTACATAATTCGCAGTTGGGTCGTTTTAGCACGAAAATTTGGAGCTCTCTTTTGCGAAGTATACGGATAACATAAATAAAAAGAAGCCAAATGATTTCTAAGATGGTGATACTCATGACACTCATGTGGACATGTCTTATTAGCTGGGCTAAGTCTAGGCCAGAGGCCTGCTGTTTGTCTAGATTTACTGAATACTTGACACTGATCTGGTTGACTGGTTTTTTAAAAACAAATTAATTGAAGTTTGCGACAAGTGTCAATGTGTGGTCCTATAAAACAGCAACATAATATTATGTTGCTGTTTTATATGTAAGTCTGGCCAACGAGTTCCAAGTATAAAAAAAAGAACGCAATTAATTATCTGTGTTTACCACAGAACATTCCATCCATCTTGCTTTGGTGAAGTACCAAGGCGCCAGTAAACTAAACAGGTTATTATTTAAAGTGAGTTGCAGTATTTATTTATAATGCCTGAACAACATGATTAACATTAACAAGTTAAATTATGTTATGTGATTAATATTTTTTTAAACTGCATATACAATGTAGGAATAGCGAAGGGGGAATGACTAGTAAGTACCAGAATCGCTGTAGCAACCGCTGGACTGGTTACGATTGGTCGTAAGCAGTCCAGCAGCAGTCATTTGCAACGAAGAAGAACAAAATAAAGTAAAAGAAGTAAACTTCCCCAAAAACATTTGACGCGACTGTGGTCCAAAACTCTGAACTCTCTTTTAACTACGAAAATTCTATTTACTTTTCTGTAGTACTAAGGCACTATAAAGCTTGTAGATGTCTAATGTGTTAACTATATTAAAAATTAAATTAACTTCAGATTTGATGGGATTTCATGAGAAGGATGTAATAATATTGCTGAAATAAGGAATATTAACATTCATTATACAAGCTATACAAATAGAGTGTGGAACAATGTATCTTCGTACAACTTTACTGGTCTTTGCCATTGCCAGGAATCACAGAATTGTTTCTTTAAGCTTAAAATATTAATCTGTATTATTAATGTGTCCTATTATAACACGTACAAGAAAATAAAATTTCATCAAAGACCCACTTATTAGTTATTTAATTATTTGAATTTTACAACAATTATTTCGACATCTATCGCCATCTACTTTTAAACCCACGTATTAAATCATGTGCCATTTTACCACAGAAAATACTAACCACCTTCTTCTAAATTACTAGAGAATCATAACACTTAACAGCTAAAAGTTTTACCTACTATGCATGTGTGATCGCTTCGGACGGAGTTTTGGCAGAATGAAACAGAAAATAAATCCATCTCTTGAAAATCTTTATAAGCTTTTACACTTTGAAGTACTATTAAAGTTAAAGTTTAATGAAACTACTAATATTAATTGTTAAGAAATAGTGTACGTGTAAATTAAGCTTCTTTGTTTTACTTATACTTTATTTTCAATGAAAACAAACCAGTACCGTTTTTCTTAGATGCACAAACATGCGCCATCTCTATTTTAGGTTACGCATCTTAAGTTCTTGAGATTATGTACCATTTTAGCACGAAAATTTCAACCACCCGCCTCAAAAGTACTAGGGCGACATAACGCTTACGTAGTTCGCTCGCAAATCCGTGTGATTGTACTCGATGCCGTCATCAAGCACAGACACGCGCACACCGGTGCCGTTGTATCCCATCATATAGACCGGCAACACATTCAAATCGAGGCGTGGCAGATTGTTCATCGTGCGTGTGTCTTGCTGAAATAAAAAACAAAAAACAATTTTTGGGTCACGACTTACATTATAATTTAAGCGCACATGATTATGTATTGTAATAAATCGTATTCTTTAATTACTTAATTTATCACCCATAGAGGTGGTATTTTTTCACACAAATCGGTTCTTTAATGAGGTTCTCATAGTTCTGAGGTAACAAATGTAAACAAGTGCAAAGAATTGAAAACCTTTATTTTAAGTTTTTTGCTTTTTCTGTCGCATATCAGCTATAGTCGCATCTAAAAAAATTCTTACAAACCTTTAAATAAATGTGGTATTATACCAACATAAATGGCACTGCTTATTTTTCGTACTTATCTTTGAACTGATTTACTTATCTTTGATTTGATTACGAACGTCAGAGTCACAGACATGACGCCTCAATTTAAATCTGTAGCAAGTTTTATTCGAGATTCGCATTTATGTTTTCTATTATACTATTGTTTACAGTTTTTGTTTTACATACAACTACAAAGTAACTACAACTAAAAGTAGATTAGTCTACTAATTAAATTAATTATTCAATTAAATACTAATAGTATACAAGTGGTCAATATTTTTTTCCGAACCAAAATTTTTAATTTTTATTTTATTAAATAAAAATTAAAAATTTAAATTAATTAAAATTAATTTAAATTTCATTAAATTCACTAGAAATTTCATGATTAAATTATTGTGTATATATCGATTTTACAAATAGAATTCATTAATTTTATAAACATAAATCACTTTCACATGTATGTAATGCGTGAATAATTGACAATTAATTTAATTAGGTAATAAATTTAATCCAATCTAGTTTAATATATTATATTAAATTTTATTTATTGGTATGTGGTAGGTACCTTCTGACACATGTAAACATTGTACCTACTCCGTCAAGTTGTTTGTGCGATAAATAAATTAAAAAAAAACACTGCATATTGTACTGAACTAATCACATCATCATCATCAACAGCCTGTAATAGTCCACAGCTGCTGGACATTGGCGTCTCCTGAGAAAGTAGGTTTTGGCCTATATACCATGCTGGCTGGTACAGGGTTTGTGTCAAGTTTTCCTACTCTTTGCAGTGCTGTTGTCCTGCATAGTTTGCTCCCTTAGTCAGCTTTGACGACACCCACGGGATGAATAGGGGAGGTGACACTCCATATTGTTAATCCGTCACCACATGGAGTGCTCGGGGTCTACCTACTAGTGGGAAGCTCGATTTCTCCAAGCAAGGCTGAATTTCAGATCATTCAGATGTATGTATGTTTGTATGAATGATATGTACACTGTACTAATATGCGTTATAAATAATACCTGAACCTGATTTATAATTATTATTTATTTCTTTTTTTATTGTTACTAAATACTTGACCAACAGTCTCATGGATATGGCACAATATAATATATATCATTATCATATAGTAATGTTAACATAAAAGTATCTTACCAGATACCACTCTTGACTCCACAATTCATCATTGAACACAGGCATTTTATAGTGAAGGCTCCTTTTTTCCATGTTATCCTGGTCGTTATCATTTATTCTCTTCACTCTTTGTAGAGATTGGTCAGGGTCCGGCATGGGATAACGTTTCACCCTTGACTTGGTAAATAATTGCTGCGCCCAACGAACCTGATAAGAAAATGCACTTAAAAATTATCATTTTTATGGTATAGGGGTAAGTGACTTGTTCTGCCCATGGACACCTGCAACTCAAGAGTCACAAGTGCGTTAGAGCCCCCCCACAAGAATAAGGAGGGAGGAGTGGTTTAAGCTCCAATAACCTCACTCACTCGGCGAAAAATATCGAAAGAATATGGTCGAGCCGCCCGAGTTGTGCCGAGTCTATTTATTAAGTTAGACTTATTTAATTCATTCAGGAGTCCGATAGTTTGTGAATTCTAATGATTTCTTGAATCTACGAGTATTTCATCATCATCACATCAGCAGCCTTTAATAGTCCACTGCTGGACATAGGCCTCTCCTTAGAAAGGATGTTTTGGTTTACTATACCACGCTGGCCAGACGGGTTGGTATAGGGTTTGTGTCAAGTTCAGCGGCTAATATTCTAGCAGAAGAGGTAGCCGTATATCGGCTCTCGGGCAAGGCCTGGTCCAGCAGGGTGGGCGTGTCTGCCGGTTGCCCTGCTGGCTCTTCGCTCTTCGGAGCATGGAGGAGGAAACCTCGGTAAAAAACCAGAAGGTGGGGCCCTATAGGGGCCAGTTTCTCCGCTGTTAGCGGTGGAGAGAGGAGGACGGGCTCGGCGTGTACTGACACTACCACCGAGCAGGCACGGAGACGTAGTCTCCTTGTCACCGTCGGCATATCGTAATCCCGAGAAGAGCGCTGTGGTCAAGTCTCGCGGCTCTGATCGGGGACGAGGGTCTTGGCTTAACCGCCCGGACCGCGAGGATGTAAACCTCTCTAAAAAATGCCCCGAATCCCGTGTTCTGGTGCGTGGCCAGGGGATGCATGGCTGATGGGTAGTTCAGTCGTAAGCGCACTCCCAGCCGAGGCACTTGCGGACCCCTCGGTTGGGCATAAATTTACGCTTACCCGGGTATTGGGGGATCTCTGCCCGGGTGGACCTTTAGTTCTCCCCCACTCGTGGGTATAACATGGAAAGTGCAATAAAAATAAAAGGAAAAGGATTGGGAAAAACAACGAAAACGGCAAGCCAAATGGACAACGAGACAGTCGGAAGGGAAGAGGAGACAAAGAGGAGGAGTGGTGGAGTGGATTCGGCGTCCACTGAAGGCGAGGTGGTGTCGAGAACACCTATCTCGGTGGGGCTCCCAGTAGTCAGACTGGAGCGTCTTCGCTCCAGGTCGGTTGCTTCAGCAGACGGTGGCTCCAGTGTGACGATTGACGCACTGGACGCTATTGAGGCTGAACCCCGTGACACTGGGAGCCGCAAGCGTGGACGCTCTAGAGAGGAGGGTGTTGACCCCTCGCAGGCATGCTGCCACCTAAGGTGGCCGGCAGCCAGCGAGGACGGTCACGGACGCCGATCGCGAGGTCGCGTGCCCCTGTCCCCATCCCGCCGGGCTCCGCCTTCTCTGGGGCGGAGTCATATAGGCGGGTCCGAGCGGAAGGAGAAGCCGTAGCGGAGGAGGAGATTGCAGATCTCCTGCTTAGGATTCGGGAGCCGACGGAGGGAGATGCCTCCCGGGCTCCCGTGTCTGTACAGGAGAGGGCAAGAGCGGCGGTGGACATTAATAAAAAGGTGGCCACCAAGTCCGTGAACCTTAAGGACTCCTTTGTGAGGGCCCTTAAGGACTCCTCCTCCGCTGTGTCGGAGGTCGTGGAGGACCTGACAGGCGAGATGTCTCGCCTGCAGGCCGCCAACGAGAGGCTGACGGAGCGGGTGAACGAGCTGAGCGCTCAGTTCGCCCGCTTCCAGACGAACCTCCCCGAGCGGGAGGCCCCGTCCACGTCCCAGCCTGCCCCTACCACCAACGAAGGGGTACCTGACGGCCAACTGCGTCAAATTCTTGACGCAGTTGGGCGTATGCTGGACGGTCGTCTGGCCGGCCTGGAGGCGAGACTGCCTCCTGCGCCGGTCGTGCGCTCCCCGCTCGCGTCCCACTACGTCCCACTACGGGGAGCGCAGTCGTAGCAGCGGCCTAAGGCCGCTGCTCCGACTGCGCTCCCCGTAGTGGGAGGCCGCGTGTCCTACGCGGCGGCGGCGTCGGCCCCGACTCCATCGGCTCCCCAGGGGCAGAGGAGAGGGGCCAAGGCACCGGTCCAGGCGCCAGTCAAGGCGCCGGCCCAGGCACCGGCCAAGGCGCCGGCCCAGGTGCCGGACAAGACGAGGCCTAAAGCGCCGAAGAGGAGCGGAGTGGCTTTCCCTCCGCTCCCCGCTCCGACATCCCTGCCGGGCCCCTCCGCACCTGCCCCCTCCAACGAGGGTTGGCAGGAGGCGAGGGGCTCAAAGAAGTCCCGAAGGCGGGCTAGAAGGGCTGCTCAGAAAGCAGCCCAAGCCCAGCCTTCGCCTCCGGTGGCAACGGCCTCAAAAAAGAGGCCGCGGAAGCTGCAGCGGCCCAAAACCGCGGCTGTAGTAGTGACGCAGTCGCCGGAGGGGGCCAGTGGCGGGCTCACGTATGCGGCCCTCTTCAAGGGGGCCCGGCCCGGTCTCGCCACTGAGTTCGGGGAGGCGGGGATGAGGCTGCGCCGCGCCCAGACGGGAGCTCGGGTTTTCGAGTTCCCTGGGGCGGAAGGCGCGGCGACGGCCGACAAATTCGCCGAGAAGTTGCGGGGAATTTTCGCCGCCACGGACGGTGTTAAGATCGCCAGGCCCACCAAATGCGCGGAACTGCGCATCTCGGGCCTGGACGACTCCATAACGTCGGAGGATGTCCGCGATGCAGTCATGGAGAAGACTGGGTGCACCGCGGACACCATCAGAGTCGGCACCGTCCGTCCGGGTCCGGGAGGCCTCGGTGCGGTGTGGGTGAGTTGTCCCGTGGCGTCGGCCAAAGCGTTGGGCGACGCCGGAAGCATGCTCGTCGGCTTCGTGAATGCCAGAATCACGGTTCTGGCCGCGAGGCCGATGAGGTGCTTCAAGTGCCTAGCCTCGGGACACACTCGCACCAAGTGCGAGAGCTGCTTTGACTGCAGCGGTTTATGTTTCCGCTGCGGTCAACCCGGGCACAAGGCGGCAGAGTGCTCTGCCGCCCCCCACTGCCCGGTGTGTGAGGCGGGCAAAAAGCCCGCCAATCACATGATGGGGCAGGGGGGCTGCAAGCCTCCCCGCGCTTCTCGGCAAACGCCGGGGGCTAGCCTGCCGACCCAGGCTACCCCCGACGTCAATATTGCGTCGACGCCGACGCCCATGGAGGAGGTTGTAGAGACGATCCAGTAATGGATCAAGTCTCCAACCTCCTGGTCCAGACGAATCTGAACCACTGTGCCGCGGCGCAGGATCTCTTCCTGCAAACCATGGCACAGTGGTCGATAGGTGTTGCCGTAGTTGCGGAGCCCTATTTTGTCCCTCCCCGTCCAAACTGGATGGGTGACCGGGACGGCTCCGTGGCAGTCGTCGGCTCCACGGCGGCTCATTCCCCGCCCTTGTCGCTAAGAGACAAGGGTACTGGATATGTTGCCGCCGATTGGGGGGGAATCACCATTTATGGTGTATATTTCTCCCCCAACCGAAGTTTGAACGACTTCGAGGTCTTCCTTAACAACTTGGAGGCCTCGATGCGGCGACTAGTGTCTGGGCACGTCCTCGTGCTGGGGGACTTCAACGCAAAGTCCATTGCGTGGGGTTCCCCTGCGACGGACGCCAGGGGCGAAGCCGTCGAGGAGTGGGCGGCGTCGGTGGGCCTCTGTTTGCTGAACAGAGGCTCCACCAACACGTGCGTGCGACAGCAGGGGGGGTCGATAGTGGACCTTTCGTTCGCTACCCCTGCAGTCGCCGCACGAGTAAGGAACTGGTGTGTCCTGGAAGAGGTCGAGACGCTCTCGGATCATTTATACATCCGATTCGAGCTCACCCGGTCCCAGGACCCCAGTAGGGGTCACGCGGCGCGGCGCCCTTCCCGCTTCCCGCGGTGGGCTGTCGCCAAGCTCGACAGGGACCTACTAGAGGAGGCGGCCATTATTCACTCTTGGCTGTCTCCGCAGGCCCCGACCGAGGAGGTCGACATGGGGGCTGGTCGCTTCTGCCATGCGATTACGCAGATTTGCGATGCGGCCATGCCCCGCGTTCGTGGTTGTCGGCCTCCAAGGAAGGAGGTCTACTGGTGGTCCCAGGAGTTGGCGGACCTCCGTGCGGCCTGTGTACGTGCCCGGAGGTCCCTCACCCGCAGTCGGCGACGTCACCGCGGGGTCGGTGAGGAGGTGGACCGGCTTCATGAGGAGTACCGAGAAGCTCGGAAAACTCTGAGGCTGGCCATCTGCCGCGCCAAGGATGCGTGTAGAGAGGAGATGCTGGAGAGTCTCGAGCGTGACCCCTGGGGTCGCCCTTATCGTGCGGTGCGTCAAAAGCTCCGCACGTCGGGCCCCCCCCTTACGGAGACTCTCCAGCCCAGCTTCCTGCAGGAAGTGGTCGAGGGCCTATTCCCGCAGCGGGCGGAGCACACACCCCCGTCGATGGCTGCATCAGCCGGAGACGACGGGGGCAGCGAGGTTGATGTTCCGCCCGTCAGGGAATCAGAGTTGGGGGCGGCTGTTCTACGGATTCGATCCAAGAACACCGCCCCCGGGCCGGACGGGGTTCCAGCCCGAGTGATGGCCCGAGCCCTCGACTACATGTCGGACCACCTCAGGGGGGTGTTGGACGCTAGCCTGGCGTCCGGACGCTTCCCTGAGCGCTGGAAATGCGGGAAGCTGGTCCTGCTGCAGAAGCCGGGACGGCCTGCCGAATCGGTCGCGGCCTATAGGCCTATCGTGTTGCTGGACGAGGCGGGCAAACTTTTTGAGAGGGTTCTCTCTGCCCGCATCGTCCGGCACCTTTGCGAGGTTGGCCCCGATCTGTCGGACGCCCAATTCGGTTTCCGGGAGGGGCGTTCGACGATCGATGCCGTAATGCGCCTTAGGGCCGTGACCGAGGAGGCCGTGAGCTGCGGCGGAGTGGTGTTGGCGGTGTCCTTGGACATCGCCAACGCCTTCAATAGTCTGCCATTCAGCTGCATCAGGGAAGCGCTCCGCTACCACGGAGTGCCGGAGTACCTGAGGCGGCTGGTGGCAGACTATCTTGAGGAGCGAACCGTCATGTACGAGGACCGAGATGGCGTCTTGAGACGCAGGGCCATGTCGTGTGGTGTTCCGCAGGGGTCTGTCCTATGACCTCTCCTGTGGAACATCGGGTACGACTGGGCCCTACGAGGGCGTCTCCCCCCCGGGCTGGGTGTAATCTGCTACGCGGACGACACCTTACTCACGGCCCGGGGGGCTAACTTCCAGGAGGCGGCGCGCCTGGCCGCCACGGGAGTTTCCCAGGTGGTCGGGCGCATTGAGGCGTTGGGTTTGCGGGTGGCCCTGGATAAGACGGAGGCCCTATTATTTCATGGGCCCCGTCGTGGTCCGCCCGCCGGCGCCTCAATCGAGGTCGGCTCGGTCCTCGTACCGGTCCGGGCCCAGATGAGGTACCTGGGTCTGGTCCTAGACGGTAGGTGGCTCTTCGACGAGCACTTCCGACAGCTTGGTCCGAAGCTGGTGGACACTGCCTCCGCCCTAGGGCGACTTCTGCCCAATTTGGGCGGGGCCAGTGTTCCCACGAGGCGGCTGTACGCGGGGGTTGTCCGGTCCATGGCGCTGTATGGTGCACCGGTGTGGGTGGCGGCTCTGACCGCCCCGAATAGGGCGCGCCTCTGGCGCCCCCAGAGGATATTGGCGGTCAGAGCCATACGCGGATACCGCACGGTGTCCACCGAGGCGGCTTGCGCCTTGGCCGGAACACCCCCGTGGGATTTGGAGGCGGAAGTGCTCGCCGAAGTTTATCGGCGAGTGGCTGACTTCCGGGCGGAGAGCGGATTTCGCCCTCCGCCCGAAGACGTGCGCGAGTGGCGCGAAGCCGCTCGCCGAGCCACTATGGTGAGATGGTCGTTCCGGCTGGAGACTCCACGCGCTGGCTTCGCCGCCGTGGAGGCTCTCCAGCCGGTCATCGCCGAGTGGGCAGGGCGGCAGCACGGGACCCTTTCCTTCCGGCTGACGCAGGTGCTTTCCGGGCACGGTTGCTTCGGAAAGTACCTGTTCTCGGTCGCTAGGAGGGAATTGAGTCCCACCTGCCAACACTGCGACTGCGGTGAGGATTCGGCCCAGCACACGCTGGCGGTTTGCCCCGCATGGGCGACGCAGCGCCGGGCCCTCACTGCAGTCATCGGAGCAGATCTCTCGCTACCGGCCGTAATTCGCTCCATGGCCGGTAGCGACGGTTGTTTTACCGCGGTCGCAACCTTCTGCGAGGAGGTAATCTCGCAGAAGGAGGCGGCGGAGAAGGCCCGGGAGGACGACCTCCATTCGGACCTGATCCGCCGCCGGCGAACCGGGCGGCGGAGGCGCGCTCACCTGCGCCTCATGCCGCCCTGAGTGTGGCCGCGGGTGGACGGGATGGGTTCTCCCCTCCACCCGCATTAGTTGGCCAGCCGCGAGGGGGCGGCGTCCGCGTGTGCCGGACGCCGCCTAAAGAGAGGGTCCACTGAGACGGAGCCCGCGTCAGGAGCGGGCCGGCGCTGGGAGGGGTCCAGAAGGAGATAGCTACCTGGACCCCTCCTAAACTGGAAGCGCAAAGAGGGCACACCGTGTGGTTTTAGTCGGTTCGAGTCCGACACACCGCCCCGCCGAACGAGAGCCCCGGCGGGGTGACGGTCCGAGGGGATTTCCACACGTAAAAAAAAAAAAAAAAAAAAAAAAAAAAGGGTTTGTGTCAAGTTATCCTTCTTTTTGCAGTGCTGGTTTCCTGCGATGTTTTGCGCCCTTTGACGGCTCTTACGACATCCACGGGATGAATTGGGGTAGTGACATTCCGTATTCTTAATCCGTCACTACACGGACTGAATCTACTTATCATTACATTTAACAAAATATCAAATTTTTTTGATCACACACACATCAATTGATGGGACAAAATCACAGTGAACTGTGAATAAACGGTGATATATCATTCGATTTTTCGTACGTAGGTTAGGGTTACTACTTACTCACGATTTGTTGCCAAAAAGCCGTTTTCAGACCCTATTTCGCCTATTTAACAGTAAATCTATTAATTATTTTAACATATTATTATATAGCTACCATTCCTGCATAATAATTAAAAAAATACTACATTTACTATTAAATAGCTTCTAACCTACCTACCTAGCAACCCTCACCTACGTTCGTAAAAATCGAATAAATCACAGTTCACTGTGATTTTGTCACATGTCTAATCACGTCCTTAAAATACTGTATTATTTGTGTGTTTTACGTTTTTTTTTACCTGTGGAAACCCCCTCTGGCCGTGACCCCACCGGGGTTTGCGGCGGAGTGGTGTGTCGGAATCGAAGGTAGACTGGGAGAAAATACCAGAGGCATTAAGTCCCCCATTGTACAGCTAATTGTTATTTGTGTAAAAAGAATTAAATAAAGAGAAACAGTGTACCTTACTTACAAGTATTTAAATAATTAGGTACACGTACGCCCAACTGCGTTTATTGCCGTACATATGTATGTCTAGCCTACTTTTTTTTTTATGTTAGAGGGGGCAGAAGAGCAGACGGGTCACCTGATGGAAAGGTACCATCGCCGCCCATGAACGTCTGTAACTCAGGAGTCACAAACGCGTTTCCGGCCTTTTAGGAACGAGTACTATTTCATTCAACACAAAAGTTTAAAAAGTAGGTACAACTATTCCAAAGGAGTCTATATATGAGAATAATAGCCTGTACAATTAAAGAAAAAATTATCAAAACAATGCTTAATGATTACATTATCTTTGACAGTTGTCAGACCAAACACTATAAAATACACTGCTTTTGAATAAAAATTAATAGTTAAAATTATTGTCCCTGATAGATACAAATTGTTAATTTTATAGAATTCTTGTCTTGTATCCTGTCATATAATGTACCGAGTTGTCGCTATCAATGACTATTGTTTTGGTTTTTTTATATACATATATTTAAATATATATTTATTTGTTATGTTTTTCGAATGAATGTGCTTACGTATGTATATCTCTTTGGTACGCTCTGTAGTCCAACCAAACAGCCTAATGGATTTTGATGATGATGATTGACATGTCGTTTGATTCGTCTGAATTGAGTGACACAGGGTAAATGAAAAATTAAAATGGCCGGTTTGTAAATACCTATATACATTTTCACGCATTCGGGTTTTTTGTTTGTTTCAATAAAGACCACAATAGCTTTTTAAAGATGTTTTATTAATGAAACAATTTAAATTCTGTAACAGTGCTTTTTCTATATTACGTACATACTTTTTTTTACTCAAAGTGTAAGTGTGCGTGTATTATTTGTCATGTTAATCTGTAGAACCGAACACAATGAATGACTGACGCAAGGTAACCTCGTGCTACTTACCAAGAGTTTTATAGTTGGCTGACTGAAACAGCCACGTGTAAGTAGAGTTCAAACATACCAGGCGCACAGACAACGACAGAGATGGAAATGTATCGCACTCACCCTTCTATCCTTCACAAGTGTCGATGTGTGGTCGCTAGGGGTGCGCCGTTGTTTCTCGTGATCGTATTTCAAAAAGATGTATGTTTTCGGGATTCCAACAACCTGTAAAATGGAAGTAAAAAAATAACAATTAAACTAACAGGAGTTATAGGCCCTTCAAGTATTACGTAAGAAGGTTTTTAGTCAGTATTGAGCCCTTATTCCCTCTTATCAGCAAAAGCTTTCGAACGACACCGAATTGTCCCGGATTTGATAAGTTTCTATCTGGCAGCCCTAGTTCGATCCCCACATGGGACAACACTTTGTGTGATCTACAAATCGTTTTTCTGGGTCTGGGTATTCTGTTCGTTCGTTTCGTGTATGTTTGTAAAGTCCCTCGCGACACAGGATATATTCCTAGTTAAAAAGCTTCGAGTTAGTTACATAGAGTTGTCTTTAAAAAATGTCAAATTTTGGTCTGCGGACATTGCTGGTAGTTAATATAACGTATATATAATAACACACTGTATACTTACTGATATAAAATGTATTAATTCAATGTATATTGATGATATTAACTCTCAAAAAAAAAAGTTTTATAATATCTTCTCTTTTGAGCGTAGACAGGTTACCACCATATGTTTTTAATATGGAATTTACAAAGGTCCATAAATATAACCTCCTTTCTAAGGAGAGGCCTATGTCCAGCAGTGGGCTATTAAAGGCTGTCGACGTGATGATGACATAAATAAATATTGTTTAACGTGATTTATCTCATTCATACCTACTACTCTATGTCGTTACAAATAAATAAAGCAAAAAAAATATTACGTAGTTCTTGAACTAAACTTCTTGAACTAAAAACGGAAAATTATAACTAGGGGACCCTAGTTATAATTTTCCGTTTTTAGTTAAAATACTATGTATTCGAAAAGTGACGAAAAGTGGGTGTCGTAAAAGTCGACTAAGGGAGAAACCTACGCAAGACAACAGCACTGCAAAGAGAAGGAAAACTTGAAACAAACCCTATACCAACCCGTCTGGCCAGCGTGGTATAGTAAGCCAAAACCTCCTTTTAGTGGAGAGGCCTATGTCCAGCAGTGGACTATCATAGGCTGTTGATGATGATGATGATTCGAAAAGTATCGAAAAATAAAACTAATAGCTCTATTTTAACAACATGTCTAGTTATTAGTAAAGTTTGTTCTTATATAAGAAACTACATTCTAGCTTATCATTAAAAAATTTTTAGGTTTACCTACCACACTAATAGTGGCATCACGACGAAGCAAAAAACAAACTCTGTTTTTTCTTTAATTAGTCGAAACATTAATGAGGAAACAGTTGTTACTTAATGTAATCTTAAAATTAAATAAAATGAGTAATCTCCTATTTCAACTTTAAAAAATTTAGTCCAATAAAAAGTCTAAAACAAATTTTACATAGATTAAAATGCCTACCTACTTGATGAGCAAACTCTAAATGTGTTTAGACAAAAGTAAGTCAAGGTCACAGGTAAACAAACCATCCAAGGATTATTAATAGCGAACTAAAACAGCCACGTGTAAACAGAGTTCAAGCGTACTAGGAGCTCAGAGAACTACAAAGGTGGCCAGACATGACGTAGAAATTTCCTCATGCGGGTACTTCGAAATTTGTCACTAACGCCATGAAGGCGTACAAAAATGTTTTGCGAGTTCATCGATATTGTTACGCTTCGCAGCGCCTACTGAAAACATAGTCTTGTAACAGTAGGCAGTAATTATTTCAATTAATAAAATAAGTTAATTTTATTTGTAAGAATGTACGACTTTCTAAATTGGCGTAGAACATATTAAACAAATAATCCACTAAAACACGAGTGGCTGATACTTAAAATAGGTAATCCTGAGTCACAGTTACATAATAGTTATCCTTTAATAGTTACAACCAATAATTGCACACTTAAATAAAAGTTAAATTTTAAAAATATATTTAAGTAACTGGTGCCCTCGACTTCAATTAGAATTTGAAAAGCGCTGCCTTAGTGGGTTCGTTTCCCGGACCGTTCAAAATTTAATAGAGTTTTCTGACAGGAAAAATAGCCTAAGTTACTCCTTATATATACAGCTACCTGGTAGAAAAATATTATTAAAATCGGTTAAGCTGTTTTGAAGATTACCCGGAACAAACAGACAGACAGATAGACAAAAAAAAGAAACTGGTTTTTAGGCATAGGTATCGTGCAAATAACTGTGAGAGCATGAAAAAAAACCTATTATTTTGACATTACAAATAGACACTTCAATTTTATTTATTTGTATAGAATAGAATAGATAGTATACCTTACACAAGATTGAAAAGCCGTTGTTAACAGCAGCTCAAAAATCTTTAAAGAGAATGACTAAAGAGAGAGACTGCTCAGGTCATGGGTTTGATCCCCATTCGGGTCAAATATTGTGTGATAAGCTAGCACGATCGAATGCCTCGGTGGCGCAGTGGTACCTAGCGTATGCGACTGCTGTGCTGAGGTTTCGATTCCCTGGTCGGACCAAATGTTTGTATGATCTTCAAATATTTGTTTCGGAGTTTGGGGTATTTTCTATGTTTAATTTGCATGTATTTACAATATTGTATTCTATCAGTCCATCTAACTTTTAAAGTACAAGCTTTGCTTAGTTTGAAACTAGATGGCGTTGTGTGTTAGATATTCGAAATATTATTATTAATCTCTTTACTTCATTAAAATATGCATAAATTACATTTTTAAATATAATATATATATATATGATTCATACAAAACAAATACGTTTAAAAATATAAAAAATAGTGTTCCATCGGTATTGGGTACAAGAACCAAGATACTGGTGGTTATAGTTAAACCGCCGTAAGCTTGGCCCTCCTGATGGTTTGCTGGATGCGGGGCGGGTGATGCGCTCGGCTATACATGACACGATGTACTAACTCGATATCTTCAGATTTATTTGTTTGAGATTTAATCTACACACGATGTAATAAAAATCGAATTTATTTCCATGTATTATAATGTCAGTGTATTGTAAGTTTTTATGATTAATTGTAAAATTTAATACTGTAAAATACTGCTCTTACGACACCCACGGGATGATTATGGTTTCACATTCCGGGGGGACATTCCGTATCCTTAATCCGTCACCACACCGACAGTAGTTCCTAGGTAAGTATTATAATCTGTCTGGTTACCATAGTACAGGCTCAGCCTAGTTTAGGATCAGACGGCCATGTTTGAAATGCGTGCGGTTATTAATATTTATTATTATTAAATAAAAAAAATGGTTTTGTAAATCTGAGGTATTTTCAGTGTTCAGAAAATGGAACATTAGAATCCGGCCTAAAAAGATTCGGTTCTATTTACTGTTAATCTTTGTTACCTCAGACTTGGTGCCCTTGGTTGGTTCCATCAAATCTGAAGAAAAAATATCACTCCTAAGGGATTAAGAATACATTGAGGAAAAAAACACTTAACAAACTACATTTCTTATTACACGGAAAACAGAAAGCATATACCTAAGTACAAATCATAAAAAGAAAAATCGGTCGTGATGCTCGGAAATGCTAGGGACAGTAGGAAAATGTGTATTTGTATTAGTGATGTAGAATGTCGGGTGCCTTCGTATTTTTGCATGCTTTATTCGATTGTTATACTGTACTATTGAGTCACTTAATTTGTATTGTTCAAAAAATGCTTGTGTGTTGTGTAACAATTTATTCTTCTGCGTTCTCTCTCAAATTTTTGCAATGCCTGGAAAAGGCTTCTGAGTTGGGACTACTACATATAATATTATAAGATCATTGATGTACACTTGGTTGGCAAATAAAGATTTGATTTGATTTGATTTGATAAGGAATGAGGAATACAGTATATTAAAATTTAGGTGCCCTCAAAATTTTACATTTTATATACCTAGGTATATTTATTATTATAATTTTTTATATAAGTTGTACCCTTCTTTTTTTTTCCGTGCGGCAATCCCCTCGGATACCACCTATCGGTGGCATGTCGGACTCGAACCGACTAAAACCGCACGCCGTCTCGGGTACTAATAGCCGGGGAACCAGGAACTACTTGTACCCTGCTACGCCTCGCTGTGGCACATTGTGTTTGCATTGATGAGAAATGAAGAACAAAACTGGCTCGAAAAATATAAAAAACCTTTTTAAAGAGGGTTGCATATCGTTTCAAAATTTCAGCTCAATCGGTGGAGAACTGCACAGATGGCGTAGGGGTTTAAGCGGGCACCTCGCCTCTTCCTACTGCGCTGGGTGTTGTGGGTACGATCCCAACATGGGACAACACTTTGTGTGATTCACAAATTGTTGCTCCGAGTGGTTGTCTCTTAGTTATCTTGTTGTCGTTTAAAAAAAAATGATTTTGAGTTTTTGAAGCGTAGGTACACAAACCAACTTAATTAACATCTTAAATATTTAGATAATTTTCTAATAATCCTAAATAATATTAAATTTTCGTTATTAACTTTTAAGCATAGTAACATTACCGAACACACTATCACACAAAACTTTACGTTAGTGTTAGTATAATGTCCCTGTTGTTATACTCGTACCACACTGCACTCATATGTGTTTCCGCCCTCGCTAAACCACGTCACCCCTGTTGTAAGCTGAATTTAGCCGAAAAACAGTCCTCCTTTGCAATCCTTTGTTCCTGGTATGTAACGTCTGAAACAATGGATGTAGGCGGCGCCCTAAACAGATTTGTTTGGGCGGATCGCCCCCTATGAGACGCTTCTATTTCTATCGAATGGATTTGTCTAGTTGTTTTGGACATATCGTTTCTTTTCTAAATCCAAAGCTCGGGACGAAAGCAGTGGACAGAAAATGTTTTTGAAGCATTTTTTTATAAAAATAAAACATTATATTTAACAGTAAAACCCGATTCAAACGATGTTATAGGGAGCTGACTGAAAACGCTTAATAAGTGCATGATGGGAGATTAGGGAAAAGTATAAACATAATTATAAAGTTTTAAGAAAGTTTATAAATTTAAAACATTACTTGCTTAAAGTAATAACAAATCTTGATTTGGCAAAAATATTTTCATGCATCAAAGATAACTACAATTTTAATACAATTTAAATTTCGTACTG